CTAAATACTTTTTTGCCCCACTGTATCTCAAGGTTCTGCCATCCAACTCCACAGATTAAAGCAAAGCGTCATTCTCAACAGAGAACCATCAGAGCTGAGCACACCAAACTAATAAGAATCAAGGCAGGAATCAATGGTCTTTGGAGAGATTTAAGAGGGGAAATGTACTGCCCTCTCTAGAACCTAGTGCAAATAACTGTAAGTGGGCCCTTACCACTCATTTTAGTGTGAAAGAATAAACTCAAGGAGACAGGTGAAGGTGGGAAACGGGGGATGGGGGAGATTTCTCATCCCTTACAGAGGAATTTCATTCTGACCTTGAGAAGGAAATGGGAGAAGAGACATGGTTACTCAGCTCTGAGAAATTAGAAAAGGTGAAAAAGTGCTCAGAATAGTCCCACCTTGGCCTTGTTGTCTTTAAAAAGGGGGCAGTGAAGGTTATGGACATGCTTTCAAGATTCTGTTAATACTCCCTGCAACAATAAAGTTGCATTCCTGGAATCCTGCAGTGTGTTTCTTGACCTAGCCAACCTCAAAGGGCTGACATCCCCTAAAATATGGCTCTTGAAACTTCAGCTGGTAGATTTCAGTACACTGATGCAGTAGAGCATATGCAAGCAGGGTACTTCCTTGTGTGTTTAAAGATAACATGAAGGAGCTTTGATGGAGGGAGAGAAATAGAGCTTTAAAGGAAAGTAGGACACAGAGCAGGCTGAACCTTCTGCTGGGTCCTCCTCCCTGATGTGCAAGAACAGAGAATTACACTGAGTGGCAGACACTGCCATATCAGTTTAAAGTAGAAATGGCTGTGTGTGTCCATGTGTCACATACCATATATACTCACAGAGAAGCTGAACATTTGAAGTGCCAAAATACACCCAAAAGATTGAGTTAGGCTTATCTGCGGATGGGCTTATCCACGAGTATATACAGTAATACTTTTTTTTGAAGTACCCATACACTCCAGCATACCCATGGATAAGCCAATTGTGAAAATTAAAACATGAACATTTTGAGGGTGACACATTTTTCATGGTATTTTGGTTAATTCAGGGTTGGTTTATCCGCGGATGGGCTTACACGCGAGTATATACGGGGCTTAGTTACACTTGAAAGTTTTCTCAAAAGCCATGCAGCTCCATTCTACTCATACGCTGCTGCCACTGAGTACAGTATCATAAACCAGAAAGACTTCTAGTGTACCAATAACCACCAGGAGCAATTATAGAAAAGTTTTAAAAGGAAGCAGAAAGAGAGAGACTGGGGGTATCCATATTCTTTCCTGACTCTTCCCGCATCCTTTATAACCTGCCTGCAAACTGCAACTTGACTCTTCCCGTAAACCTGCTGACTCTTGCCGGCCCCCCTCCCTCAATCCACATTTTTTTGTTTTTTTGGGGCACTGGGATAGGAAAGCAAAGCCCTAGAATGAACTGTCTGGAGCAAGGAACACCTAGGCCTAACCTCCAGCAGGGATATCACACTACACGAAAGTCAGAAATGATGTGTCTCATAGCTTCAAAACCATGGTGTTATATTGGAAACACATGTTGCTGGGAAAAGAGGAATACACCAGGCAGACTTTTAGGCACCGCTTACCACGCAAGAGGCAAACTGTGGGGCGCAATTAGAAAGCCTCTCCCAGGCAGTCTAATGTTTCAGTGTCTATATAGGAAAGGAACTGATATGTTGAAGTATGTTGGTTCTCAGGGAGAAATCGGCCTCCTTGCCAGACAAGCTGTGAATCAGCACCTATGCCCAGCCGCAGCTGAAAAGGTGTGTTTGTGTAACTTGCAAGGGGGAAGGAAAACAGGACTAGCAATGACGTAAGGCATATTTGAAGGCAGGGACTGAGCGAGCACTATTTTCTTGGATGTCTGGTTCCAGGGAAAGATTGCAATATGTGCCACAGAAAAGTGTGCTATAGAAAATCAGGGGCTATAGTTTGGAAGGAGCATACGTACGAGTGGCCAGTGGCAGGGATGAAATATATACAGCAGTGAACTCTGCTATCCGGGATCTGCTTCTTCCGATTAATATTCAGCTCTTCCTGGAGATACTTCTCATACTGGTCATTGATGAACTTCATTATGGGCTGCCAACTGTGCAAGGAAATAAATAAATAAAAGCACTTTAGAGGCAAATGTCTCTATGCGGGGATTCCCTTTAAAAAAAAAAAATCACCCCATGTGCTCTATGCACTTTCTCAAGCTTTTAAGCACTGATTGATTGCCATCAAGTTGTTTTTGACTCCTAGCGACCACAAAGTTTTTTTCCTAGATTTTCTCTTAAGCATACCTAACTTAATAAAAGGGGAAACTCTTGGCTAATTATAAATGATTGTTTGCTAGTGCTTTACAGGGAAAAGTGCATGGACAGAGAGTCACAGAACTCACAACCTGCTTTAAATATACACTTATGAATAACAAGAAATCATTACAAAGGTAAGCCACTTCATTTTGACAGAGTTGCTATGACGGCTAACATTTCCATGTTGGACTTTTTCAGGAGGAACAGCAGTTCATCTTTTGCTGGCAGAGACATAGCGCAGTCACCCAGTGCTGGTAAACAGAATTTCTCCAGAACTTGCTATGAAGAGTATCTGACAAGTTAGACAGGGTGGATACACTCCAGGTCCCCTCCCTTAAATGTTGTCATCTTGGACGTGCACCTTCTCGGTGGCCACCCCAGCCCTTTGGACCAGCCTTCCACCTGAGATCCAAGGGAACCCTTCCTTTTAGCCTTCGGGAGGGCCATGAAGCTCTGGCATTGGGCTAGGTTGGGGGTTGAGATGGGAGGCTGTTTGGTCTGGCACCTGGAGGGAAGGGTTCTTCTGTTTTTAGCTACGTTTTATGGCTTGTTGTGAGCCATCTAGAATCATTATCTGACTAGGCAGCCATATAAATCCAAATAAATAAAGGTGGCTTCCTGAGCATGCAGTATTCAACATTAGGATCTTTGTATTCCAGAAATACCCAGCCTTCATTTTGCAGACTTGTAGCTCTCCCTTGAACCTCCATTTATGTTCTTTGACAGGCAGACCCTTAAAGTTAAGAGAGGAATGAAATCTGAAGCCAATTTGCATTTGCTGTATTTGGAGACATGCCACCATTGTTTTGTTGACTTTGGAACATTGATGCCATTTGATATTCCTTATTCCAGATAATCCCTTGCAGAATGGTAAGGAAACAGTAAGATGTATTCTCAATGGTCCTTTCCTCCACTCTTATAATCCACATCAACCATGGAGGTGACCCTTTGCTAACCGTGCACCATGGCTTCACATTTTCCTACACATTACAGAAGGAATTCCATCGTAGTTCTCTTCTGAGTAACTTAATTGGTAAGACAATCCTCATGAGAAAAGTTGGATGAGTAACTGCAAATCCCCATGTCTGTAAAGTACAGTTTGGTTTAGAAAATTTGCTAGCTTTTGGAAGTATCAAGAGATTTCGGCATACCTTTTTGCCGTTTATCATCTAAAGCAGAGTAATTCTACTCCATTCTCCCTTCCACCCAGGTGAGACATATTCTTGGGAAGTAAACAACAATACTAACTTCAACTCAAAATAATTCCCTTATTCTTATCCAGATTAAGTTCTTCTCTTTTTGCTTCATAGTCCAGAGACAGAAGTTTGGTCTGAACTGGTTTTACACCAGTCCAAAAAAAAAAAAAAGTAGGCCACGTTGTAGGAATAGCTAGAGTTGAAGTACCAAGTTCCTCTTGTCCTAAGTGCCAGCCTTTTCAAGCATGACACCTATGGGTATTTCCCCACTGATAGCCCCTTACCAGTTCTCATTGTTAATGTGGTCCCCAAATCCTGGAGTGTCAATGACAGTCAGCTTCATACGAACACCTTTTTCCTCAATATCTAAAATGGAAACGCGAAGAAATTAAACAGCAACGTATCACTTTGGGATGAGCACAGTAAAAGCATGTGGGAAATCTCTCTTCATGTGCATGTTTATTGAAGATGCTTGTGATAAAGATGTTTAAGCATTTAAACATTTCAGGAATCTTCCATCATAGTCCACTTAAAGACGGCTCCCTGAACCCTCTTTCCCTGGCTGCCAGATTTCCACAAAAAAGAGGCCAGCAATCTCTTAGCAAGACTCACCGTGTGTGATGGACTTGATTTCAATTGTCTTGGGAATACGTTCTTCAGAACTTGGTTGCACTGATTTGCGACTGATCTTGGATTTGAAAAGGGTATTGATTAGAGTTGATTTTCCCAAGCCACTCTGACCTGAAAAATAGGAGACAATTTCAGAAAGCCACATTTCATTACTGAGGCCACCCCATAGCTAGTCCGAGCACGTCCAAACTATCCTTGGATAACATGTGATGATACACACAAAGATTGCTACTGTTACAGTAGCAATCTTTGTGTGTATCATCACATGTTATCCAAGGACAGATGGATGTGCTCAGACTAGCTATGGGGTGGCTTCATAATCTGGATTACTGACTGCATTACATTTTATGACAGTTCTTTTGTCCTGTTTCATGGACAGAAGGGTTGTTTCCACAATAAGAAGCATTAGGGAAAACTGCATGTCAAATATAAGGTATAAGAATTATATATTAAGACTTGCAGCTTTTTTTTCATTTTGCTCTACATGTACAAAACAAGCTAAAATGAAAGAATAATTAATAATTAGCAGGATAATTAATAAAAAAGGAACTAATTTTTATAATACATGCTTAATTTCTGGTCTTTCCCTCTGCTTACAACTGGTTTATTCCCTTCTTTCCAACCCTGTAATTCGCATGACTGTCTCTAACCCCATTTTCTAAGAATCAAATAATATTCTCTCCAAGTCTTCTTGTATTAGGGAAATCATGCCAGTCTTCACATCTCTTTATGAGAACAACTTCAAGGAGGAAGAAATACATGGTTCTTAAGTCAAAAAAGAGGAAAAGCTTCTGTCCGGGTTACATCTGTGTGCTTTCTGCTATCTGAGAAGCTCAAAGTGGCATTTTTAAGCACACCGGAATTGATCATGCTAACTGGAGCTGTTGGTGGATCTTCAGTAACAGTTGGAGTCCAGAGATTTCCTGGTCCAACTCTATGGACTAATTTTAGATGACAAACAGTAGAACAGTTTGGCTTAAACTAAGCAGATTGTGCTTAATTCCCAGTTAAATCAATAAATTAAAAAATCACAACCAGTTTTTCATGGCATTTCAATGAAACTCATGTTCAACTTGGCCTTCCTCCAATCCAGTATCCCACTTTCTTCATAAATGAATATCTTTTCACTTCCAAAACTTGTATGCCACTGTCCCACACTGGTTGGCAAATATTAAATTATTTTCTTCTAATATTGACTGTATATAACATATAGGAGTTTTACAAAGGAAACCTACCAAAAATATTGTAATTTATTATTGGCTTTTAACAGGAATTCCAGTCAGCCAATTAAGTGCCATCCTGTCCCCAATTTCCCATTTTTCTTTTCCAACTTAGAATTCCACAGTACTCCATGTACACTATGTATGGTCAGTATTCATGAAGTGGTTCTAAAGATACATCAGTCTCTCCTTTTAATGGTAATCTGGAGATTTTATGCAAGTCCGGAGTGTACTGAAACTTGCCTGTTGGTTTCAGAAATCCCATTCCATCTCTGTTGCTATCGGCAAGGGAGCGCTATGCTTATTATTAGTGGAAATAATATGCATGGATGAATGAGAAATGAACACATCTTATTTTTCAAAGAATGAGCTGAGACAAGTGATGAAAAAAATAAGCTGTCTTCAATTTTTAGAAAGAAGTTTGAGCAACAAAATATTGTTTTCCTTCCTTTAGTTGATAACCTGCTTATATAGTAAACCAGTGGTTATAAAGATGAGAGAACATGGCTCATGTTTCTGAAAACTATTCATGAATTCTGTTTTTTAGCAAGTTGAAAAGGACAACTAAGTGTTAGACCAAAATGCTAATGCTGAGTTTGAAATGGGAGTCTAGAAGTTCTTTTAAATGGATTCAGCCATCTTCTGCAGCTACAACTCAAGCCAAAATTCAAAGAAGCTAAAAGATAAAAAAATGTCAAGTGACCAAAATATATGAACATGTCATTATTTAGATAAGAGGTGTTTAAGGGGAGTGCCACAGTGGTTAAGTCTTATACAGAACACAGGAAATGTAATCCGCATGTATGCATTACAAAAATCTTAACTGCCAGCTACTTTTAACATCAAAACCAAGAATGTATGCAGAAGTATTTTAAAATGTCTCCTCCTAACCTTCATTTCTCTCTCCTAACTAAAAAAAAAAAGAGTGTGTACTACCACACCTTGATAGGAAGAGGCAATAATCTGGAAAGACCTAGGTGGAAAAAAGTTGCTTTTATTATTTGTTTTTCATTATTACAACATTAATGCACAGACACTGAATCCTAGTATACAGGTAACACAAAGGAAGTGGGGGCGGGGGTGTTACAAGAGTATAGAAAAATCTGGTCTAATACAACCAACCATATCAATATGTCATTCTTTAACTGACTGCACAAGTTTTTACTATTAAAGGGGGGTGGGGAATGAAGAGTTCACAATGATGAGAACGGCCTCAGTCACAGCAGACAGATCTCCAGAGTGGAAGATAAGGAAGATAATAAATGCATGAGCAATTGAAAACATCATTGAAGCAACCCAAGAGGCCGTACGCTTATAACACATGAGTCCAAGGTCCATGGACATGGGAACATCCTGTGTGAAAGCATGACCCAGAGAGGGTATAAAATAAATGAAGGTCCTATTAGGAATAGCAGATTAACTATTTAATCAAAGAACTTTATTTTTCATCTTGTTTAGTTGCAAAGGTCAGCCAATAAATCACATGTTCTTTCTAAAACTGTAAAGTACAGTATTTGTTCGTGTCATGCCAGAGTGAAATATAAACTGGTATCACCAGACACTCATCTTAAAAGGGCCAGCAAAACTCTCAATTCTTTTGGAGAGACATCTTAGAAATAAAGTACAGCATAAGGCCAACTGAGAAGTAATGAAACTTCATATTTTAACCCAACTTAGCTGTGAATCTTAATTGCAACTTTCCTGCTGTATTTATATTTATGTTTCTATTTATTTATTTAGAAACTTACATGGGTGCCTATCTTATGCAAGATAATCTGGGCAACTCACAATAATATTAAGCAAAAACAGAATAAATAAAACAACCCAACCCCATGACAACATCATATATCCCAAATGCAACACCACAACTTCACATAACCTACCCATGCTCTTACATTTGCTGGGCTCACTTCTACCCCAGCCCAAAGCCTGGGTGAACAGCCAGGTCTTCATAGCCCTCTGAAGGGCTAATAGGGTGAATGTCAGGGGTGAGGCTGTTCCAAAGGGTCAGGGCAACTATAGAAAAGCTACTCTGACTCTATAGCCTGATCTAATATACATGTGTCCAACTATATAGTACACACAGAGAGAAGTTTGCAATGAAACAAGTGCTGGGACAAGAAATGCAGAGTTTTAATTTTGCACACAGTTTTGCTCATCCATAAAAATAAGCACACATGCCCACATTGGAATGAATCCAATCTTCCTCAGGAATATTAGAAATGCAGTATGAACAGGAATGAAAAGTTTATGGGTGTCAAAGAAACCAGGAAACCAGATGTATTGCTATATTTCTGGCACTGCCTTTCAAACAGCCACAAATAAAGACAGAAAAATTCTACACTGAATGCTTCACTTCCTAAGCATATTGAGTCAGCTTGAGCCAGGGCATTTTGAGATTTTATTAAAAATGGCGCACCAACCCCTTCAAGGAAATGAAACAAAGTATTTTTAACAGTCAAGTATTCAGTTAATGTGAACATCAAAACTGCAGTTTTAACTACCTTCAAAATAAACGTCAACTGTCTACATTGGTTAATCTGCTAACCATCTGGAGCTAAATATGTGCTGAATACTATGTGCACACAGTCTGCAATAAAATCCAAGAAAAAGAAGAAATAAATGAAAAAATATGCAGTACAACCCTTTTAGAGAATCCTAGAAAGATGGAATTGAACTATTGGGCTCTAAATGGGCTGAGGCTGGGGACACAAACCAGGAAATTTTAGTTATCTTCCAGGTTTAAATTAAATTTGAAATAACTCATTTCTCTAATTACCCAGGATGAGCAAGAATTACCAGTAGGCAACCAGGCAAAGCAGCATTGTAGGCACACCACTGACTTATAAGTTTGGAAATGGCACACTCTCTTTCTGTTTTCCTAGAAAGCAAATTTAATTATTTTGTAATGGAGGCTGCAGCCCAGCTGTCTCCCTTCCCTGCCTTAGCCTGCTTTCACAAAAACATTTTCACATGCAATAGCCACAGTACATCCCTGGATCATTGACATGCTTTAGCCATCATTCTATGTTTGACCTTTCCTTTCTTTTTGGCTTATCTGGAGGTTGAGTCATGGCAACTGACTTCTTTTCTTTTGGTTTGATACATTTGCATGACTTAACCTCCAGATAATTTCACCTGGATGACTAAGAATCTTCATCACCATATTCTTTTTGGCTTGATAATTTCATTCCCCCAAAAGACCTGGTATGACCAGTCACAAAGCATTTATTTACCAGAAGAAAAACTAATGAGGTTGCTCCATCAATCTGGCTCTAAAATTAATGCCAGTTTCTCCTCTTGTCATTTTAATCATGATGTTTGAACAAAGTGTCACTGTAATAGTCATGTAGGAAATGTCACTTCATAAGAGCTTTAAAAAAAAAAAAAGCTATTTTCTGAACAGAAATTAGAACAGCCTAGGGAAATTATTATTGAGATTTTATCCCACCTTTTTATATATAACTCAAGGTGGCAAACATGCCTAATTTTCCTGCCTCCTATTTTCCCCACAACAACAACAACCCTGTGAGGTGAGTTGGGCTGAGTGAGAATGACTGGCCCAAAGTCACTCAGCCAGCTTTCATGCCTAAGGGAGGTCTAGAACTCAGTTTCCTGGTTTCTAGGCCAGCCCATTCACCACTACACCAAATGGGCTATCGCCCACAGTCGGTCACTTATAGTCAAGGATGCACCTATTTTACTGTTTCTACCAGAGCAAGGACTCTTTTTATTTGTTCATGTATCAGTCCTTAATTCAAAGTTCAAAGCAATGAATGCAGAAGTGATACATTTCTTCCGCCTCTCCAAAAGTGTAAGAAGTTTTTTGTTCCCATGGAAGAAGACTGGAAGGAAAATCTTTTCCCTGGACTAAGATCCACAAATGGGGGTGGGGTGATGTTATAGAGGTAGTCCTTGCTTAATGACCATTTGTTTAACAACAGTTCGAAGTTATGACAACCTTGAAAAAAGTGCTTTAAACCTTATGAGTGCACACTTATGAGCATCGCAAACTGTCGCACCCTCCCCCAAATTGCAACCTTTTTTGCGATGGTCATAAAGTGAATCACTGTGGTCGTTAAGAGAATCATGTGGTCATTAAGTGAATCACATGGTCATTAAGCAAATTCTGGCAAAAACTGTCAACTGGGGAAGCTGGATTCACTTAATGACTGTATCTGCTTAACGGCCACAATGATTCACTTTATGATGTCACAAAAAGGTCGTAAAATGTGTCCAGTCACATGGTGACTCATTTAACAACCATCCTGCTTAACAACCAATTTTCCAGTCCCTATTGTGGTTGTTAAGCAAGGACTACCTGTACTTAGCTGGCCAGGACAGTCAGTGATGAGCAGATTCTTCTTCAGCAACACTCATTCTTCCTACTTTGTGAAACATAACTAGAGTTACATGCAGAAATTGAGGGACGCCTTTATTAGTCTTTTCAGGTAAACACCTTTACCTTTCAGACCTTTTCTGCCATTAGTCTTTGGTATTACCCTTATGGAATATGTTTCATCCTATTATCAAAGCATCAGAGAAAAAACTAGCTGCAAGCTACAACCTAATCAGGAAGTGGAAATAAACCACTGCAAGGAGTGTAACATGCTATCTTCAAGAATTACAAGCTGATGTAGCATCAAGTGCTAGATTTGCTAGATTTTGCAAGCATTTTAAAATTCAGGTTCGCTAAACATACCCATAATGCTGAAGGAGATGGAGCATGAACAGAAAGAAAAGTGGGGGTTAGAACAGAGTGGCAAGAATGAACTCAGAGCTACGACTGAGGATCAACAGAGTTGCATCTAATGAAAGCTAAACATTGGACTAAGTATCTGCTCCGATTGGTAAAAAAGGGACCAAAGGAAGTGCGTCATTGTTTAGATAAGAGCTGCTCACAAGCAGTTTTTTAACAACCTCTGTTACATTTAAGAGATTACAGGGTGATTTTTTTATTTGATTTCTTCCAAAGGAGTATTATAGCGCAACTTCAAATAACCTTGAAGAATGGCACAGCCGAACAGGACTGGCTTTTCATTTTTTAGTGGAAGAAATTCAATCACAGAACGCCAACTAGTATATATCGAAGTTGAAACAGCTTACTAAAGGCCACGTGTCCTTGACTTTTGACGCGGAGGACAAAGAGGCTTATTAGAGAACGCACATAATCACCTTGACATTCAGACTATAAAACATCTGTTTTATTAATCAACAGAAGAATTTACCAAATTGGATAAGTAAGAATTCACAAATGCTACTTGCTGTTGTTCATACAGATGGGAGGAAAGAAAACAATCAGGAGTGGACAGGTTAAGAGATAATAGGGGGGATCAAGGGTATATAGCCTTGGTGCCCTCCAGTTGTTCTGGGCAACAACTCAGCAGCCTTAGCTAGTATGACCAAAGTAAGAGATGTAGCCTACACAGACTCACCAAGGTAAGAAGACTTACCAACAACCATGATGTTGAACTCAAAGCCTTGTTTCATGGCTTTCCTTCGCATCTGTTCGAGGATGGCATCAATCCCAACATAGGCGAAGTCAGCGGCTGGCTTCTCTGTTCTCGTTGGCGCAGCTTGCTTGAGGCCAACATCTCGAGTGGCTTCCATCATGCTGCTGGGATAACTGGGAATGGTCTCTGAACCTGTTAGTGAAAAACCAACCAACCAGTCAATATAATATATTCACAGATCTATTAGTAGTGCGCATAAATGCCCAGTTTCGGATGCTTCACCTCTAGCCACTTTGCCATTCCTTGGCCTTCAGCTGTCTTCGGATTAATCCTGACACTGCTGAACAATGCTAAGCCATATTTTGATTTGAACCTTGCCAATAGTTTGGGATTCCCTGGCAATGCTGGTGGTGAATTCTACTGTGGTCAAGCTCAGCTCTATATCAGTTCCCTGTAGCCCTTGCGCTGGTGAGAAACATGATTCCCCCAAGTTTAAATTATATTGGGGGGGGAACCTGAAAACAGTTTCCAACCATTTCTCTTTCTCTGCGTGTATGTACATAAAAAAACTATCTACACACGACTGTAAAAATAAAGAGCTCTTACTGCAAAATGACATGATATTTTCAGGTTTTTATAAAGTTAAGTTTGCAAGTTGTCATGGATTCAACTAACATCATTAATTCTTTTCCCCTTTGTTGGCAAGGCCTCTTCGTCATGATCTCATCTTCTTCCTTTATACAAGGGTTTTTCTATTTAATAAAGCTTTGGAAGACTTGGCCCCTGTAATATCTTAAACAGGGCCATCCATTACAGCCACTAGGGATGTGAGAAATCTATAAGCCAATAGCGTGAGTTTAGCACCCAAGGTTTCAGAATAAACTATGTGTAAAAGCAATAAATGACTGTACGGACATCCTGCCAGAATCCACCATTAGGAGGAAGAAATATATCACTGTCCTTAGTCACAGTAAGAAGCCAACACATTTACAAAATGCTCCATATCCCCTTATCAAAACCCACTGGCAAAGGGTACAGATTTGGGAACGCAACCCTAAGTACTACTTAGGTACTACTCAAAATTTCCATATCTGATAAGCCTTTCCCCCTTACCAGTGTGGTTAGGACTGCAGCCTTGATGTAATACATGTACAATCAATCTTGAGCCTTGGTGAAGTGAATCTACTGAATTGTCCCAAACTAAGAAACTATTAGCGCTTCATCATTAGTGCGTGTACCTTCTAATAGCAAAATTAATCCAGGCTAGAAGTAGTATTGGTTTCACATTCAGAAGCTTTGAAAAGCTGTGCGGGATCGGATCAAAAACCTGTTGGAAACCTGTCAGCTGCCCCATGGCACAGAATTTCAATTTAACAACTTGATGCACAAATAAGAACTTCTGTTTTATCTGTTCAGAATCTCCCACTCTTCTGGTTGATTCAATGAAGCTTCATGACACACAACTTTTTAAACCTCTCTAACTTATACTGGCTTCTGAGACAGGGAAGGTGATATCTGCAAGCAACAATCTGCCCCCAGGCATCTCTGTTGGTGGCTACCAGGCTCCCTGCTCCTCTTTACCAAGTTTATCTTAATTAAAAATAATAGAAAGATGGCACTTGCAAACACCTGCCTTTAGTATCATTTGGAGCTCTCTGGGATGATAAAGAACATCCCAGGGGCTACTTTGTGTTCTGGCAAATGGGTATTTTATACCTAGGATGGCAGCCATTTTCACAGCATCCAAACCTTCTGAACATTTCAGATGTGCCTCTGGCCCTAGCCTTGTCTTCCTTGATAGCCCCCAAAGGTTTTCTGTCATGTGGAAATTGCTTCAGCAGCCTGGTCACGTTGGCTGTGTTCACATACTTAATGAAGTCAGTTAAAGACCTAGCGGTTGCATATACAAATGATGTAAAAGCGTACTAACTAGTGCTAACTAGTGTCAGTACTGGTTAACGGTTTGTGCATGTGTGTGTCTTTTTGTTCTGTCCTCCCTATATAATCTGGTTTGGTTGACAAACCTGGCCATTTCCCTGCTCCTTCCTAAGTCTATATAATTTTTGAACAAATTAAAAAGCACAAGCTCCAATCTAGATCCCTAGGGAACTCTACATTTACATCTATCAGTAATGAGAACCATTCTTTTATCCCTACTCTGCTAGTTGCTGGTATGTGTCTGCATGAAAGTGTTGAATAAACAGTCATGCATGACATGAAAAGACAAGGGGGAAGTGGTTTGTATTCATATCACTTTTTATTTTTATCTGCGTCTTTTTAGAACTTGACTGCAAAGAACAGAAGAATAATGATTTCTGCTGAAAGTTCCAGGAAAAACTAGGCCAAAACAAAGTTAGGCCATTTAGGCGAAAACTAAACCATATTTTAAAAACATGGCATCCATTCAAACCTGCATAGGTTCCCTGATTTCTTCCTGGGAAGTCAGCTATGCAGGTAACTATCCAGAGAGGTCATAAACAAGAAGTGAAATGCAAAAATTTGAAACAGATTTAGGAAATGATGTAACAACCCTCCAACACTGACACCCAGGAGACAACAGGGACATCCATATATGTACCATCTGGTTGCCACAATGTGGGACATGTGGAACATTTATAGCCTAATGGCACAAAAACCCCTTTCTCAGAATTAAACTCAGTTTAAATGTAATTTTTCATGTCAGCAAAACCTTATTTTATGAAAGACAGACCCTGAAAGCCCCTAAATCACAAGTACATTCCTCTATCCACTGGTTCAACGCTATATCTGTTGCCGTGGATGTAACGTCCATGTTGTACCAAGAAGACAGCATCTTTATAACAGACAGGATTCTCTTGTTGAACTCTCATTCAGTAAGAATAAGAAGTATTGAGGAGAATGTTTTTATGTGACTTATTGAGGACTGTCTTACATTACATTACATTACATTACATTACATTATGTGGAGCAACTACAAAGTATTTCCATGTAGAGCACGACTCTGAGTCTCAAGAGCCTTGATCAAATCGCTTGCACATAGGATATTCAATGTTCGGAAGAAGGAGTTCTCCTTAACTTGCTAGTTTTCTATATGAAAGGAATGTTGGGAAGGAGAAAATATAGAGGCATACTCAGTCATATGAACAAAGCACTGTTTGTAGTGCCTGTAATCCAGGCATAGGATTCATTCAGAATGTTGATTTAGGGTACTGTAAAAGGAATATTAGCAATTCCAGCAGATACACACATGTTTCCTTCTCTCCATCACACGCACAACACACTTGAGACATCAGCAGCAGAAATTGCTGTTCAGGGAAAGACTGATTCCAGCTGGCTAGAAGAAAACATTCCATCAGAAAGGAGAAGAAAAAGGGCAAGCAAGAAAACCTTTTCATATCCTGCCTCTAAAATGTTGAACCTACTTTGGATTCATTATCAAGCTACAGAGAAGATTCTAATGCAATCACTTTAGCCTTTGGCACCATATGTTCACCAGTTTGTGACAGAAGAAATGATCACCTGAGACAACTCTAGCTTATTAATAAATAAATAAAAGTAGATGGCTCCCCATCTCCATTGATCATCAGTTCCCATGCACCTTCCCCAAGGGGGAGTTCTACCTCATCTGGGCATGTTTCTGCAAGCAGCAAATGTGTGTTCAATAGTGTGGCCTGGCTTGAAGCTGTTTGTTATAGAGTGAGGTGGTTTTTTTTTTTTTTTAAAGCTCTGCAAAAAGCGAAGAAAATTAAATCCTTCTACTGTTCTCAGTTGACGATGGAATTTCTCTCCCCGCCCCCATGTTCCATGACAGGAACTCATTACTAACTAGCAGCAGCCTCCTACTTACAACAGGAAGTCCCTGTGGGAATTTTCTCTCTCTCCCATCCCAATTTTGTAAGGAGTGTATATACATCCTTAGTCTCACCCTTCCTGCAGGGTTGGAGCTCCCTGTTGTTCAGCTAAGATGTGTAAGCGTGAGAAAAGTGGGAACCGGGGAGGAAGGCAAACTGTGACAATCATCTGAGGAGAGATGATGCAGATGGAGAGCAAATATTGGCCTCTTCCACATGTTTCCCCTCAAAATTGTGGGACCTGATTGGATCTTGGAAAATTGAGCTGACTAACTAAGAAACACTGCAAAAACTGTTTGAAATGTTTCTCTGAAACTATGGGGAAGGGCAATTTCCCATTATCAGGAGCTTCTGCTCATCCCATCTCCTGGGACTTGTATCTCCAACTGTAGCCAAGTGCAACCGTGGCTTGCCACTATCCTGCCCAGCCCTTCTCAGCTGCTCCAAGGAACAGTTTTGCCACTTCTTTCAATTGGATTTCTTGGAACTTTTGTTCCCTTACTACAAAGGGGGGGCAAGGAATTTCTCCCACCAAAACCAAGTTGCCCATTGGATTGGTGAAGCTGAACAGGTAACAGGTTACAATATAGCAAAGTCACAAACTGAATGAAAAAGACTGACTACAAGAGCATTTGTTTAAAGAAAATGTAGCATGAATGTGTGTGTGTATATATTTATATATGCAGAGGCATCTGCAGGATCCAGTGTTTTAGTCAAAATGATGAAAGCAGGGTTGTTCCCTCACAAAGCACACTTCACTCCTGTTAGAATCAGAAGGTTTTATATGTCATTCGTTTACTCATATGCAATTGTTTGAACGTTTTAAGCTGGACAAAAAGAATTATAGATTTGCTAGTGAAACATCTTATTTTGAGACTCAACTTTGTACAAATGATGAACATGTTATTGCTAAAATATGTAAGATGTTGTTAGGAATGAATTTAGAAGATGAACAACTCAAGGAATGTATGATTAAATAGGCTAAAAACTTCGGATATAATATCACATTGGAACAATGGGAAAATGTGTGGAACAAAAGTTTGAAATTTACATTGAATTATAATTTAAAAGAAAATGTTTATAAAATGATGTAACATTGGCATTTAACTCCTGATAAGTTGTCAAAAATGTATACTGGTATAACATATGTTTTGTTGGAAATGTTCGCAGGGAGAAGGAACCTTTTATCACTTTTGGTGGATCTGTGAAAAGGCTAAAAAATGGTGGGATCAGATATGTATTGTTATTCAAAAGATTCTTAAAGTGAGCATTCAAAACTGTTCCTATTGGGTTTGATGGAGAAAGGACTGGAGAAACAACATGGAATCTTGCTTTTATATATGATCACAGCTGCAAGACTGT